CCAATTCATGACAACTATAATCCCAAACTAAACTAGTCCCACCTGCCTGTATTTGGCCCATATCCCTTCAAGCCTTTTTTATTCATGTACTTATTCAAATGTCTTTTAAACACTGTAACCCGCATCCACCACTTCCTCTGGAAGCTCGTTCTCTGTGTACAAAAAGTTGCCTGTCCGTCATCTTTTTTTTTTAATTGTTCTCTCACTATGTAAAATATGCCTCCTCGTCTTGAAATCTCCCATGCCAGGGAAAAGACACCTGCCATTATCATCATCTATATGCCTTGTGCTCTTATAAACCTCTAGAAGGCCACCCCTCAACCTCCTACGCTCCAGTGAAAAATAAGTTCACGCCTATCCAGCCTCTCCTAAAAAGCAAACTTTCCATTTTCGGCAATATCCTGGTAAATCTTTTCTGAACCATCTCCAGCTTAATAATATCATTCCTATAACAGGCTGACCAGAATTGAACACAGCACTCCAGAAGAGGCCTCACCAATATCCTGTACAACCTCAACGTGACATCCCAACTCCTGTACTCCAAGATAGCAATGAAGGCTGGGGTGTTAAATGCTTTCTTAACCGCCCTGTCTACATGTGACACAAATTTCAAAGAAGTATGTGCCTAAAACCCTAGGGCTCTACCCTACTTTTATTTTTCAAGTCCTACCCTTATTTGTTTTCAATACCTTGCATTTATCCAAATTAAACTCCATCTGCTGTTCCTCAGCCCATTCACCCAACTGATTAAGATTTCTTAGTAATCTTAGATAACCTTCATCACTGTCCACCATATCACTGATTTTGGTGTCATGTTCAAACTTACTAAATATGCTTTTTTAATGGAAGCCTTTTCTGTGACTACACTAAAATTATGATCCTTTACCCAAAATGTTCCCCAACTATCACTTCAGTCACTTGCCCTGCCTTATTACCCAAGAAAAGGTCATGTTTTGTTTCTTCTCTAGTAGGAACATTTACATATTGATAAATGTTCTTGAACATAGTTGTAGAGATGTACAGCATGGAACCATCCTTCGGTCCAACTTGTCCATGATGACCAGATATCCTAGATAAATGAAGTCCCATTTGCCAGCATTTGGTCCATATTCCTCTAAGCCCTTCCTATTTATGTACCCACCTAGATGCCTTTTAAATGTTGAATTTGTACCAGCCTCCACACTTCTTCTGGTAGCTCATCCCTTACACCATCCCCTGTGTGAAAAAGTTGTTCCTTGGGTCCCTTTTAATTCTTTCCCCTCTCTCCTTAAACCTATGCCCTGTAGTTTTGGACTCACCCACCCCAGGGAAAAGACCTTGTCTATTTACCCTATCCATGACCCTCATGATTTTAGAAACCTTTAAGGTCACCCCTCAGCTTCTGACACTCTTGGGGGGGAAAATAGCCACAGCCTATTCAGCCTCCCCATATGGCTCAAAACCTCCAACCCGAGCAACATTCTTGTAAATAATTTCTGGACCCTTTCAAGTTTCATCCTTCCTATTAGAGGGAGACCAGAATTGCTTTCTCACTTTGTCCTATACTGGGACAAATGAACAACAGACATGGAAGGGAATTTCTGGAGGTCTGGTTCTGAACACAGGACTTCATTAACAAACACATAGAACAGACTGCTGCTTTTAAAAAAAACAGCACTGGAAGTGACAAAACCAACACACCAGAGGATCATATAAATTTGGAACGGAGCTGAACACCAATGCTTCGATTAGAGGTTGCACTGACTATGTTGCTACCTAGGATAGTAACGAAACGTCTGCACACCACGGAACAACTGGTTCCATGAGCAAACTAACAACTGCATCCACAACCCGAGCTACAAATTTTCGCAAGATCTTAAAAAGACAAGCTTACCAAATACCACCTTCACTATCCTATCTGCCCGCAACTCCACTTTTAAGGAACAATAAACTTGCACTCCAAGCTGTCTATGTTCAGCAACACTCCCCAGGACCTTACCATTAAACGAAGACCTTGATTTGCCTTTCCAAAATGCAGCACCTCACATTTATCTAACCTAAAAGTCCATCTGCCATTCCTCAGCCTATTGGCCATTGGATCAAGATCCCATTGTATTCTGAGGTAACCTTTGCTGTCCATCACACCACCAATTTTGGTGTTATCTGCAAACTGCTAACCATACCTTCTATGTTCTCCTCCAAATCACTTACATAAATGACAAAAAGCAGTGGAGTGGACACAGCACTGATCCTTATGGCACACTGCTGGTCACAAGCCTCTAGTCTGAAAAGCAATCCTCCACCACCACACTCTGGCTTCTACCTCTGAGAATCACAAGTTTCACATCTCTGAAGACAGATCAGAATTTCGGGGATAGTAGGAACTGCAGATGCTGGAGACACCGAGACAACAAAGTGCAGGGCTGGATGAACACAGCAGGCCAAGCAGCATCATAGGAGCAGAGAAACTGACGTTTCGGGCCTAGACCCTTCATCAGAAAAGGGGGACGGGAAGGGGGTTCTGAAATAAATAGGGAGAGAGTGGGAGGCAGATAGAGGAGAGGATAGGTGGAGAGGAAACAAACAGGTCGAAGAGGCGGGGATGGAGCCAGTAAAGGTGAGTGTAGGTAGGGACTTAGGAAGGGGATAGGTCAGTCCAGGGAGGACGGACAGGTCAAGGGGGTGGGATGAGGTTAGTCGGTAGGAGATGGAGGTGCGGCTTGAGGTGGGAGGTGGGGATAGGTGGGAGGAAGAACAGGTTAGGGAGGCAGGGACGAGCTGGACTGGTTTTGGGATGCGGTAGGGGGAGGGGAGATTTTGAAACTTGTGAAATCCACATTGATACCATTAGGCTGCAGGGTTCCCAAGCGGAATATGAGTTGCTGTTCCTGCAACCTTCAGGTGGCATCGTTGTGGCACTGCAGGAGGCCCAGGATGGACATGTCGTCTGAGGAATGGGAGGGGGAGTTGAAATGGTTCGTGACTGAGAGGTGCAGTTGTTTATTGCGAACCGAGCGTAGGTGTTCTGCAAAGCGGTCCCCGAGCCTCCGCTTGGTTTCCCCGATGGAGAGGAAGCCACACCGGGTACAGCGGATGCAGTATACCACGTTGGCAGATGTGCAGGTGAACATCTGCTTGATGTGGAAAGTCTTCTTGGGGCCTGGGATGGGGGTGAGGGAGGAGGTATGGGGGCAGGTGTAGCACTTCCTGCGGTTGCAGGGAAAAGTGCCGGGTGTGGTGGAGCTGGAGGGGAGTGTGGAGCGGACATGGGAGTCACGGAGCGAGTTGTCCCTCCGGAAAGCAGATAAGGGTGGGGAGGGAAAGATGTCTTTGGTGGTGGGGTCGGATTGCAGATGGCGGAAGTGTCGGAGGATGATGCGTTGCATCCGGAGGTTGGTACACCGACCCTAAACCCCACCTCTTCCTCCGTTACATTGATGACTGTATCGGCGCCGCCTCGTGCTCCCATGAGGAGCTTGAACAGTTCATCCACTTCACTAACACCTTCCACCCCAACCTTAAGTTTACCTGGACCATCTCCAACACCTCTCTCCCCTTCCTGGACCTCTCTGTCTCCATATCGGGCAACCACCTGGAAACCGATATTCATTTCAAGCCCACCGACTCCCACAGCTACCTAGAATACTCCTCCTCCCACCCACCTTCCTGCAAAAATGCTATCCCCTATTCCCAATTCCTTCGCCTCCGCCGCATCTGCTCCCAGGATGAGGCATTCCACTCCCGTACATCTCAGTTGTCCTCGTTTTTCAAGGACCGTAACTTCCCCCCCTCGGTGGTCGAGAACGCCCTCAACCGCGTCTCCCACATCTCCCGCACCTCATCCCTCACACCCCGTCCATGCAATAAGAACCAAAAAAGAATCCCCCTCGTCTTCACGTACCACCCCACCAACCTCCGGATCCAATGCATCATCCTCCGACACTTCCGCCATCTGCAATCCGACCCCACCACCAAAGACATCTTTCCCTCCCCACCCTTATCTGCTTTCCGGAGGGACAACTCGCTCCGTGACTCCCTTGTCCGCTCCACACTCCCCTCCAGCTCCACCACACCCGGCACTTTTCCTTGCAACCGCAGGAAGTGCTACACCTGCCCCCATACCTCCTCCCTCGCCCCCATCCCAGGCCCCAAGAAGACTTTCCACATCAAGCAGATGTTCACCTGCACATCTGCCAATGTGGTATACTGCATCCGCTGTACCCGGTGTGGCTTCCTCTACATCGGGGAAACCAAACGGAGGCTCGGGGACTGCTTTGCAGAACACCTACGCTCGGTTCGCAATAAACAACTGCACCTCTCAGTCACGAACCATTTCAACTCCCCCTCCCATTCCTCAGACGACATGGCCATCCTGGGCCTCCTGCAGTGCCACAACGATGCCACCCGAAGGTTGCAGGAACAGCAACTCATGTTCCGCTTGGGAACCCTGCAGCCTAATGGTATCAATGTGGATTTCACAAGTTTCAAAATCTCCCCTCCCCCTACCGCATCCCAAAACCAGTCCAGCTCGTCCCTGCCTCCCTAACCTGTTCTTGCTCCCACCTATCCCCTCCTCCCACCTCAAGCCGCACCTCCATCTCCTACCGACGAACCTCATCCCGCCTCCTTGACCTGTCCGTCCTCCCTGGACTGACCTATCCCCTTCCTAACTCCCGACCGACACTCACCTTTACTGGCTCCATCCCCGCCTCTTCGACCTGTTTGTTTCCTCTCCTCTATCCGCCTCCCACTCTCTCCCTATTTATTTCAGAACCCCCTTCCCCTTTTCTGATGAAGGGTCTCGGCCCGAAACGTCAGTTTCTCTGCTCCTATGATGCTGCTTGGCCTGCTGTGTTCATCCAGCCCTGCACCTTGTTGTCTCAGAATTTCGGGTCTGGTCACCCTTCCTCAGAACTTGCATAAAATGCATGTTGTTGTTGTAATTGCCTGACATTCGGAGAATCAGCAATGACACATTTCTTTCCCCATCTCTGAATGAATCCACAACTTTTCTCACACAGCTGACGAACAGCCGCAAAAACAGAAAGCACTGCGCATGCTTCGGCACACTATGGGAGCTCATGTGATTGACATCAGCCCCAGCCCAATAGGAGGGAAGGGGGCAGTGCTGGAGGACCGAACGGTAGCAGCGTGTCCTCCAACCAATCGGAGCGAGTGAGGGGCAGTAGTGCGAATGGAAGACGGCTGGAAGCCGGAGGAAAATGGTGTTGGTATGGACTGATTGGTTTTAGTAATACTTGGTGCACATCGGAAATTACAAATTTTAAACAGCCGCTCCGGTGTTTGCAGCAAACGGGAAAGCGGCCGAGGGCCTCAGGCTTTGATAGGCCTGTGTGTCCGCTATCATTTTTATTGGGGGCAAATGGTCCGCTGGACACGCGCTGGGATGCCATCTTTGTAGATGGCAACCTGCAGCTGGACGCATGCGCAGCCTTCTTTGTGAGAAGGGGAGGACTTAGACCGGACCAACTCAAAGCAAGGGAAATGTTTGTTCTGGATTTCTTTCCTAGACTGAGAGAGATGGCGTGTATTTCCTGGCAGAGTATTGACTTCAGGCAGCATCATTGCTGCTGTTACACTTCAGCTACCTAGTGGAGGAGAAATGCCTGTAATTCGATTAGAGCTCCATGTTATCTATTGCAACCACAGTGTAGGAAGGCCTGCTTTAAAGATTATGATCTATCAAAGCATATCCGATTGTTCAGTGTTCATATTTTTGGGATCAGAACACTGAAACTGCTCTGAATCACCTATGTGCTCCTTGTTCAACTCTGTCAATATGAGACTTCCTTAGTCTCTAATAATGGGTGTATTTTAGCTCTGCATCTTGTTGGGTCGGGGAAGTGGGTAATGTGAAGAGGAGAGTTTACACACAGCAAACTGAAACCAGCAGAAATATTTGTCTTTTCTAGACACTCTTGCAGTGTTTCCCAGATTTCTAACCTGGGCTGACAGTGATTTTTCTTTTGTGAATTTGTTTTACAGGACATTAATTTGCAGAGCAGGATCTCATAACCAGTTGTACCAGACGCAGTGGAATCATCAAGGTCCGAAAATCATTGGCATTTAACTGTGGAAGGAAAGAGGTTCGTCTGTTCTGTCTGTAGGAAAATATTTCTGATATATTTGTAACTCGAAGAGCAGCAGGATATTCAAATGTTTTGTTAGATTATCCCCAGGGTATGTGCTCAGTTCTGGGCCCTGCCGCTAAGGAAAGAGATAGTGGCTTGACAGGGAGTACAGATTTATCCAAATAACACCTTGACTCTTCGAAAGAACTGCCATATTTAGTCCCAGTCACCCACTTCATGATTATGACCTGTGAACTCTTCATTCTCAATTACCTGCAAACTTCCCTTTACAATTTCTTATGGACTTGAGCTTCAGTGCCTTTTCGGGTGAAATGTTCCAGATGCTGACAATTCCCCGTTTGTCCAGAAACTGCCAATGTCCATGTTGACTGTAGGTTATAAAGCGCTGAATTGAAAGATGTGATGCTGTTCCCTGAACTCTCGTTGAGCTGTATTGGAACAGTATGGGAGGCTGAGGTCAGTGTAGATGTGAGCAGGCAATTAAAATGACAACACTGCACTGAAAGTGCGGCTTGGCTCAATGACAGTGCTTTTGGAGTTGGGTGAAAGCCGTGAGGTGAGACGGGGAGAAGGTGAAGCTGAAAATTTGAGTGTGCTGCTCTGACCCTGTTCAGGCTGTTCAGAAAGTTACACGGTCCCAATGAGAATGGCCAATTTGTAAGTGATACGGTACTTTTTTATTTACCGTTATTAAAGTATAATATATCAGCTTAAGTAAAGGTCAAGGCTTTTGATTATACTAAAAATGTTTGAAATGAAAGAAGATTGCTAGCTCATTTAAATTCTCTTGATGGGAGTAACTAGGTGAATCTAGATAGATGTCATGACAGGAGAACTCAGACTTGCGGTGTGCTCCTCTTACACAATGTGCAAAATAAGGGACGCTTTCAGTTTCCCAGATGGTTGTGTGTGTAGACAGTGTGTCCATCTGCAGCTACTGAGTAACTGCTTTGCAGAGCTGGAAGAAGAGTGGCAGGGCTATACTGACAGGGGCTTCAATAGTCAGGGGTACAGACAGGCACTTCTGTGGTCGCAGTCATGAATACAGGATGGTATGTTACCTCCCTGGTGCCAGGATCCGTGATAACATGGAGCGGCTGCAGGACATTCTGGAGCTGGAGGATAAACAACCAGTGTTGATGGAATACATAAGTACCAATGACATAGCTAACCAAAGGGTTGAGGGCCTGAATAGTGAATAAAGGAAGATGGATGATACATTTGAGGACCTGCATTTTAATGTAACAATGTCGTGCTTGCTTCCAGTGCCACGTGCTAGCGAGAGCAGGAATGGGAGGATAGATCAGATGAGCGTGTGGCTGGAGAAATGATGTAGCAAAGAAGGGTTTGGATTGTTCAGGCATTGGGACCGTTTCTGGGTTAGGTGGGACCTTTACAAGCCTGATCGGTTGCCCCTAGGTTCTTCTTGAGGTGGCTTTTGCCAGTTGCATTGCTGAGGTTTTAAACAAGAATGACAGGGGGATGGGAAGTGTAGGGTTGGATGGGTCAGATTCATATCAGGAAATGGAAGGTAGAATATTAGTGATGCAGTTAGCGGCTTAGAAAGACAAAAGAAAGGATTAAACAAGGATCAAGTCTCTCTTCTTACATCAGTCCTGACATCCTCGATTTCAGTCTGGTGAACCTTCATACGCTGTCTCAATAGCCAGAGCATCCTTACTTGGGAAAGGAGAACAAAGGTGTACACAATACTTTCAGGTGTGGGCTCATCACAGCACTTGCAGAAAGATATCCCTGCTGCTATACTTGAATCCACTCACTATGAATGCCAACGTCTCATTTACATTTTTCACTGCTTGCCACTCCTGCCTGCTTTCCAAAAGAGAGAATCACTGAGAAACATGGAGCAATATGGGGTCAGAGTCTCTGATATAAAATTGTAGAACACCATGTTCCCATTGTTTCCATGCTGGTCATCGAGCACCTATATACTCTTGTCCTATTTGCTGGCACTCAGCATTTAACCTGTATTGTAGTGCCTGTATGATCATATAAACATCTCTTCAAGGTTGCAATGGCTCCTGCATCTGTCACCGTTTCATAGGCTGCCAGACCTGCTTTCCAGCTCTCCAGTATTTCCAGCACTTTGTTTTTCTTTCAGATTTCCACCATCTTCCTTAAGCACTTAAGAGTCATAGAGATGTACAGCGCAGAAAGAGAACCTTCAATTCAACTTGTCCATTCTGACCAGCTCATTCTATACATGTACCACCCTCTACGTTAAAAAAAAATGTTGCTCCTTAGGTCCCTTTTAATTCTTTCTGCTCTCATGTTAAACCTACGTCCTCTAGTTTTGGACTCCCCTACCCTGCGAAGAAGACCTTGACTATTCACCCTATCCATGCTCCTTGTGATTTTATAAACTTCTACAAGGTCACCTCCTCAGACTCCAATGCTTCAGGGAAAATAGCCACTGCCTATTCAGCCTCTACCCACAGTTCAAAACGTCCAACCCTGGTAACATCCTTGTAAATCTTTTCTAAACTCTTTCAAGTTTCACAACATCTTTCCTGTAGCAGGCAGACCAGAATTGAACACAGTATTCCAAAAGTGGCCTAACCAAAGTGATGTAGAACAGCAACATGACCTCCCAACTCCTATACTCAATTCACTGACCAATAACAGCTGGCATACCAATGCCGCCTTCACTATTCTGTCTACCTGCGACTCCGCCTTTAAGGAACTGTGAACAGGCACTCCAAGGTCTTTTGTTCGGCAACACTCCCCAGGAACTTACCATAAGTCCTATGCCAGCAACATCTTTCCAAAATCGGGGAGACTGGAATTGGCCTCAGGATGTGCCTAAACAGCCGCAACCTCCCAACTCCTATACTCAATCATAGAATACCTACAGTGTGGAAGCAGGCCATTCTGCCCATGAGTCCACACCAACCATCCAAAGAGCATCCCACCCTATCCCTGTAACCCTGCATTTCCCATGGCTAATCCACCTAACCCGCAAGTCTTTGGACTGTCGTAGGAAACCGGAGCACCCGGAGGAACCCCACCCAGACACGGGCAGAATGTGCAAAGTCCATACACAGAGTGGAATGGAACCTTGGTTCCTTTATTGATCAGTGCACTGACCAGTAAAGACAAGCGTGCCAAATGCTTTCTTCAGCACCTGATCTACCTGAAACTTCACTTTTCAGGAACTATGCACTTGTTCTTAGCCCTTTGGAGGGATTGAAAGGTATGGGGAGAAAACAGGAACAGGATTGAGTTGCAGATCTATAAAAAGCCTCTCCTTTATGTCTGTCTCTCCCACCTCTATCTCTTTCTGTGGTTTCGTTCAAACACTGACTGGTTCCCTTCCCTGAAGGACATTTATGAACCCTTTCAGTTTTAATGATAATCCAGCCGTTTCCCTAAGTATCATCTCCACAAGTGTCTAGAATAATTTCTTTCAGATTCACAATCTATGTGTTTCTCTGGTTTCTCCTAATATATTTGTTTTCTGTTTGAAAGGTTATTTTGCAATGAGAGATTTCAAATGAAACCACATCCAGATCTGATGGTCAGTCTGTTTGTAATAACCTAATTATCTCAGGAGTTTGAAAATTGAAGGCAAAAAAGCAGTGTTCACATTGGGAAGAAACACAGATGGTCTGTGTATGGAAGAGTCTGTGAAGATTCATCTGAAATGTCCAAACACCAGCACAGTGACACTGGGGAGAGATTGTGGAAATGTGAGAATTGCGGGAAGGGATTTCTTTACCCATCCCAGCTGGAAATGCACCAACGCAGTCACACTGGGGAGAGACTGTGGAAATGTGAGAATTGCGAGAAGGGTTTTCTTTACCCATCCCAGCTGGAAATGCACCAACGCAGTCACACTGGGGAGAAACCATTCACCTGCTCTGATTGTGGGAAGGGATTCACTCAGTCATCCAGCCTGCGGATACACCGGCGTGTTCACACTGGGGAGAGACCATTCACCTGCTCCCAGTGTGGGATGGGATTCACTCAGTCATCCCACCTACAGACCCACCGGCGAATTCATAGTGGGGAGAGACTGTTCACCTGCTCCCAGTGTGGGATGGGATTCACTCAGTCATCCAACCTGCGGAGCCACCAGCGGGTTCACACTGGGGAGAGACCATTCACCTGCTCTGCTTGTGGGAAGGGATTTGCTCGGCCATCCAGCCTGCTGAGACATCAGCAAGTTCACGATGGAGAGAGACTGTTCACTTGCTCCCAGTGTCGGATGAGATTCACTCAGCTATCCAGCCTGCGGATACACCAACGCAGCCACACTGGGGAGAAACCGTTCACTTGCTCCGATTGTGGGAAGGGATTCACTTTGTCATCCAGCCTGCGGATTCACCAGCGAATTCACACTGGGGAGAGACCATTCACCTGTTCTGAATGTGGGAAGGGATTCGCTCAGTCTTCCAGCCTGCGGAAACACCAGCGAGTTCACACTGGGGAGCGACCGTTCACTTGCTCTGTCTGTGGAAAGGGATTCATTCAGTCATCCCACCTACAGATACATCAGCGAGTTCACACTGGGTAGAGACTATTCACTTGTTCTATAGGTGGGAAGGGATTCACTCTGGTAATCCAAACTGTTATTACACCAGTGAAATGACACTTTGTGTAAAATAGTTTGCTGTTTGCAAACACCAGCAAATTCGCAAAGAACTGTGGGTGAAGCGTTTTGCTTTTAATCTCACCAAGGAAAGAACCTTGGTCATTGGGCCATTTGTATTGATGTTCTTAAACCCAGCTCTATTAAAGGTGCTGATATTGTAGATGAAATGTTGATACAATTGCGTATCTGCATGGTAAGTTTTAGAAGTGATCACAACGTCACTGTACATCAACACATTTACATTGGGTAAAGACTGTCCACTTGCATATTGTTTGTAAAGTGATTTTGTGGTTCATCGGGACTAGTTAAACAGCAATGAGTTCCCTAGTAACTGTCAATGTTGGATTTGGATGCTATTGTTATCTATATCCAAACCACGCTTCCTGGACCTGTTTCTGATAACGTTTATAAACACTACATGTTCATTGACCTATTTAGGATGGAAATAATACAAATCAACTTTTCGTTAAAACTATGATGCATCAAGTTTGCCTCATTCTGAGTGCCTTAGAGACACGATAGTCATGTGTATCCTTCATACGAGTATTTGGAAAAAGGTGCATCCAGCATGGGGGATATCTTGTAATGCTGGAAATTTAGTTACAAGTGCTGTTGGGCAGTGTGTAACCTAACTTGATAAGGGAATGGGATCCAGAGAGAATGTCCAAAAGGGTAAGAAGAAAAGAGAAGAATCAACAAGTGAATCAGGAAGGCGTCAACATTACTGGCCGGTTAAGGTACAAGGGAGTTTGATATGGTTGAATAGCATTGATTTTAATGCTACAAGATGAACAAGGCAGATGAGTTGAGGATACAAATTAAAACATGGGAGTATGATGACGTTGCTGTCACTCAGACATGGTTGAGAGAGATGCAGGATTGGAGGCTCAATACTCCAGAATACAGGGTCTGCATGTGAGACAGAAGAGGAGGTGGTGTCACAATTATATTCATGGAATTTATTACATCTTACAAAACTCATTTAAATAAACCCGTATGGGTAGACCTGGAAGAGCAGGTAATAGGCAAATTTCAAAGAAGTGTAAAAGTAATAGGGTCGTGAAAGCAGGGAATTTCAACTTCCCCAACATTAACTGTGGTCGTCATTGTATGAAAGGTTTAGAGGAACTTTTCAAATAGATCCAGTACAGTTTTTGAAGCCAGTTTGTAGAAGCCTCAACGAGGAAGAGAGAGCAACTAAAATGCTCAGTTGTTTTGCAGGTACATTAATGGTTACAGGATAATGGGGGAGGAATGAGTAAGGCCCGTTAAGGACTGTAGAGAGGTACTGTGTGTGTGAAACTAGAGGATGTAGGACGTGAGAGAGATGAATCAGGGAGAATTTCTGTGATAGAATTTAAAGAAATTTGCACAGAGAGACAGGAGGTTTTGAGTCGTCTGGCAGGCTAAAATGTGAATAAACCTCTAGAGTCAGGTAAAATGTATCCTACGTTGTTGGGACAATAAATTGTTAGGATTAAAAAGCGCTTGCAAAAATTTTCCATTTCCCTCTGACCACAGGAAGGGTGTTAGAGGACTGAAGGACAGTCAAAGTGGAACTTTTGTTCAAGAAGGGAGTAAGGGATAAATCAAGAAACTGCAAGCTAGTCAGTCTCACATTGGTGGTGGGGAGACTATTGGAAGTAATTCTGAATGACAGATTTAATTTGCATTTGGAGAGGCAGGGATTAATCAAGAACAGTCAGCATGCATTTTTTTAAGGGCAGTTCACATCTGACCAACTTGATTCAATTTTTTTTTGATGGGTATCCAGTTGTGTTAATGAGGGCAATACTTTTGATGTAGTCTCCCTGGACATCAGCAAGGCTCTTGAAAAGGTCCCGCATGGGAGACTGATAGCAAAGATAAGAACTTATGGGATCCATTGAAATTTGGCAAACTGCATCCACAATTGGCTGAATGGCAGGAAGCAGAGTTTGATGGTTGAGGGATATTTTTCCAACTGGAAGTCTGCGTCCAGTGGGGTTCCATGGTGGTCAGTGTTTAGCCTATTACTGCTTATGGTTTATAACTGACTTGTGCAAATGACTTAGACTTGAATGTAGGAGGGTTGATCAGCTTGCAGATGATGCAGAAGTAATGGTTGGTAAATAGTGAGGAGGATAGCCTTAACTAGAGGAGGATGTACACAGGCTGGTTAGTCAGGTTGATCAGTGGTAAATTCAATTCAATCTGGATTAGTGAGAAGCAACATATGTGGACAGGATAATTTGTTCACTGCATTTGGCTGTTATTCCAAAGATTAGTGATTGGTAGACCAGCTAGGGAAGGAAGAATATTTTTTCCCATCAGCATCCTCCGTCACAGAGGCCTGGATTGTCAATGGGGGATTTTGGCGGCAAGACAATTTCACCCAAAACTGATTTTACTGATAGTGCAGTGTAATAATTCAGAATAGATGATTCAGTTTTTTTAGATGAGATCCTCTTTTAATCCCAAATCTGGAAGTTATCTTCCCACACACTCTTTCCTTCATTCTCACACTGCTGTAACTCATTGTTCTCAAGGTGGGAAGTCATGCTGATCAACAGATCACTGCTCAGTTCTTGCTGCCTGGGACAAACAAACCTGAAAGTCTTCATGCTTGCTCTGACACTAAATATTGGGGGAGGCAATGGCCTAGTGGTATTATCGCTGGACTGTTGATCCAGAGACCCGGATAACATTGTGGGAACCTGGGTTTGAATCCCGCCGTGACAGATGGTGGAATTTGAATTCAATAAAATATCTGGAATTAAGAGTCTAATGATGACAGTGAATCCATTGTCGATTGTCAGATAAAACCCACCTGGTTCACTAATGTCCTTTAGGGAAGGAAACTGCCCTCCTTGTCTGGCCTACATGTGACATTAGACCCACAGAATGGGGTTGACTCTGAACTGCCCTCTGAGCAATTAGGGATGGACAATAAATCTGCCTAGCTGATGATGTCCTCATCCTATTAATGAATAAAGGAAAAAAATGTATGTGCATATCTAGGTGGACTATATATGCTCTTTGGACAGTGCATTACTTCTAATTTGCTGTCCCTTAAATCCTGACCATCTCTGATAGAAACCCTACAATTGTGAACATAAGAAAGAGGCCACCCTTTTAGCCAGTCAAATAAATGTGTGAAGCTGAGAGAACAAATAATGACAATTCAATTTAAGAAAGACACATCTGAACCAACATTTCCTATGTATGTTCCCTTCTTGGATTCACTTCCACTCCCTTCAGTGCTGCAAATGAACAGTTTTCGCCCTTACGGCATGAAAAAAGAAATGGTGGTTGGGGGGGAACATTGCCTTGCTCCCAAACATTGCACACAGAAGAAAGTTTCACCCTGAACCTCGAAAGGCAACATTTGTATTGTGACGTCCATAATCGAAGGGTAGGCGTGCCTGAAGCAGCCAATAGGGACCGCTGTGCTCAGCGATGAACTCTCCAGGTGCCTGGCCAGGGTTTCCGTGCCAACGGGCTGCCGTCTCGGGCCAGAGCGAGAAGCCGCTCGGGGAGCTGGCCCTCCCTCATCTCCCTCTTCCGGCGGCTGCTGCTCCACAAAGAGACAGGTGGAGCCCGCCCACTGGCGGCAGCCGCACTGCGCCTGCTCAGGTAGCGGGCCTCCACTGCGCTTGCGTTACCCTCCAGCAGTGGGTTGACGGGCAGGGGAGGGCAGTTTAGAGAAGTTCTTCCTTTAATTTTCCTCCAGGTTACGGAACAGCCCAGGGTGTGCGAAAGAAGAACCGAACCAAGTGCTAAAAGAGTCATTTAATGAAACAGGAGGTGAATATGATCAGTCCTTGACTGTGGAAGGTTTGAGGTTTGTCTGTGGGGAAAGATAAGGAGCCGGTGGAAATCGGGAAGACCATGGAGGAATTTGAAAACGAGGATGGGAATTTTAAAATTGAGGCGCTGCTAAACGGAGGCCCTTAGATGTCTTTATATGTTTATTGATGGGAAGTGGGTAACACTGCTTGGATCAGCATTGATTGCCTGTCTCAGTTGCTATGGTGATGCCACTGACCGTGTCTGTGGTGTTTGACTGTTCAATGTGGAGGGGTCTCGGCAAGGCAGAGAATATTCTCTTGGAGCTGCAGTGTGTTAATTTAGAATAGATGAGCCCCAAGGAAGTGGGGCTCACTCTCACTTCCAAACTCTTTTCCGTGGCCTTGTCTGTGCATGAGTAGCTTGGTAGAGGGAGTATGCTGTGTTCACTAGTATGACTGATACCTCCCATAACCAGCACTGCAAAACAAAGATACTGGGGATAACTTGGAGAGACGCAGGATACCCACATCGTGCAGAATTGTTGAAACGTGGGATACACAAAGACCTGAGTCTCAAAACATAGCCAGAACCATGCTATGAGCTGAGGAGTTAAAGTTTATTCACCCAGCAATGACGAGGGAACAGTGATATGTGTCCAAATCCACAAGTTGAACTTTATGATAGTTTTTTTTAAATATTGGATTGTTCCAAGATACTTCAGAGGAGTGTTACAAAGTATCATTTGACATCGGGCCATACAACTTAATGTTAGGGCAGAAACCAAGCGTTTAGTCAAAGAGGTAGATTTTAACGTGCATCCTAGAGGAGGAAAGTGAGGTTGAAGGGCAGAAAGGGTTAACGAGGAACTTCCAGAGCTTCTGGCTTTGTCTGCTGAAAGTATGCCCAGCAATGGTGGAGTGATTTAAAATCAGAGCTAAATTAGGGCTGTCTGTGAGCTGAAATTAGAAGGGACCAGATATTCTGAGCGTTATGAGGTGGGGGAGGAGGGAAGTAGTTGGAAGCTCACCTTCGGTTGAAATATGATGTCCTGGTTGTGAATAACCTTAAACAGTCACCATGGGCAGAGGGATGGAGTCAGTGGTGAGGAAGTGGAGTTTTGATGGGCATGAAGACAATGGCACCAATCTTCCTTAGTATTTGATTGGGGGAAATGTCTGTTCATCTGGTCCTGATGTCTGACAGGTAGGCATGGTGTGAGAGGTTGTGGGAACCTGGAGGTAATGGTGTTCATATCCACCTGCTGCTCTAGTCCTTCCAGGATGTGGAGGGTGAAGGTCTGCGAGATTCTATCAAAGCTCTGGTTGTTTTCTGGAGATGTGAAGACCCGCTCCATTTCTCCTTGCTACTCCTACTTACATCTCTCTCTTGTTCTCCCAGAGAAGCCAAGAGACTCCTGAAGGTCCAGACTGGATGGCAGGATCCAATCCCTGAAGGACGTTAGTGAACCAGTTGGGTTTTCATAATAGTCTGGCAGCTTTCATGGTCACTTTCACCTCCTGACCCCACAAATGACCACTTCATTCAGTTCACTTTCATAACTATCCTTTGTGTTTTTGTGGATTAACTCTCTGATTTCTGTTTTTATCTTTTGAACCACATTCACGTGGGTATCAAAAAAAGGGAGGATTTGCAGTCAGGGAAATTCAAATCAAATATCACATTGGGATCTGATGGATTCGT